TGCTTGGCAATGGCCACGATTCAGCTTCCGTATCTCAGACGAACTGGGCGAGTTTGCATAGTTATGAAGATATGCCCAAAAACCATAGTTCACAGTGTGTATGTGTATGTGTATATATATATATATGCGCATAAACAACATAGCAAACATACATGCAGGCAGACGGGTGTATGTGCGTATGTGTGTATGTGCATACGTGTACAGTATCCACATATGGGGCCACACCATTCTGTGTGTTCGCTTGTTTTGGTTGTGCAAAGGTATGTTTGCACACGATGAAGAGGCTTGCCTAAATAGTTGTATCGCAACCCCACTATACTGTCCTTGAACCAGAAATCTTTTGAAGGTTGCGGAGTCAAGTCGTCACATCCAAATGTCAAGCTGGGTCAGGACTGTCAGAGTTTGCAGAGGGGCGAGGGCCCGGCTCGCCGATTGCCCCTGCCAAAGGGGAAAGGCCTTGCAAACGGCCACTTTACATCATCATCATCATCATCATCATCATCGCCGTCATCATCATCATCATCATCATCATCAAGAACATCATCATCGTAATTCTCTTATCTTTTTTGTATTATTATGAGTGATGACTACTATCGTTTGAAACCGGTTGACAGGATTCTAATTGGTTTCTCGAGGCTCGGGGTTGAAGCTTGTAGAGGAATGGCGGGACGGTCGATTCAGACTGCCTGCTCGCGTGGGATTAGTACTATAAGACTAGAATCTAGAAGGGTACCATTGGGTACCATAGAGGCCCAAATATTACAGGGGTACTATTCGGGTACGGAAAGGTACAAAAGGTACGAGGCCGAAGCGCAGCATTCAATGGAAAGGGTGCCTTGAATACCCTTGATGGACGGCAAGCCCAGGTGGCTCGCAGGGTAGCTGCGCTCTCAACCCAGTCGAGAGCAGCTCGGGCTGCTTGGGCAACTTTTTGGCCTAAGGCTTCAAAAAAAGTCTTTAGAAAACATCTTGGGGCGGCAGTAGCTTATGTCCGCCCGTGCAACCAAGTTCGGGCTGTCAGGGCTTCGTCGCAGAGCGTATGCCTGAACGACATGTCGCTCTGCAGCTGGGCGTGCTCAAATGCAATGAGTGAGAACTTGAATTTTCATTCCGAACTTAGGGGACATGTCAGATGAGGTATGCGACACAGGCCCGGGTTCATGGACGAAGCGCCTGAAGCACGCGGCCTGTACAGCTGCAACTGCCGAAGAATGTATTGTCTGAAGATGCAGACACAGCCCACAACACTTCGCGACCAGAAACGAACGGCACATGCCTTCCGGCGTTCTCACTCAGGGCAAGGGCAAGCGGAACGTCTCTTCCTCTGTAACATCATACGAGTACGAGGCTGAAGCAAACTCGGATGCGCGACGATATGCTTGGTTGAGTCGAGAGCGCAGTTGGCGGAAAATACCTGTTCCAATATGGTATGCACCGTGCGCCAGCACATGCTACCGGGCTGTTGGCGGCAGCTGGAGGGAAATCTTGAAAAATACCGGCAACTCATCAGCTTGTTCTTGAATTCAGCAAGAAACCTTAGTACAGCAGGCTCATTCTCACATCCAGAATGGTGGCCGTTGTACTCACAATCCTACAACGATCCCAAGGCAGCTAAGAGTCCAATTGAAGTTTGTCCTTCGTTCGTGAAGCCTGAGACGCAACACTCACAGCAAAGCATTCTGTCTTGCACGTGGCGATGCAGTGCCACCTGCAGACAGAAGAAGAGCAATGCTTCAAGAAGTCAGCGTTGATCAAGCTTAACTTGAATGATTGCGAAGCTTATTCTGTCAGGCTTCTTCTGCCAAAGATAGACTGCTAGGCCAAGTGGCTGCAGACACGAACTTCATCGCTGCAGGCAACGACTCCTCAGCTGCTTGCAGACTGGCCTACTTGTTACAGCTCCTGAAATTATCGCCCAACTGCGCTCATCTGCGGCCAGATCCGGGCCGAAGAAGTCTCCAGCCTGCCCGCTTTCCCGCAAATCCCAAAGCTTCATGAATAGTTCGAAAACGATGACCAGGTGATAAACCTGCATTGAACGGCCGCAGCCACGACACATGTGCCACGGCACATGCAATGGCAATATGTTGGCCTGGATGGTGCCAGTTTTCTTCCATTTCGTGAGATGCTCACCGCCGACTTTACGCTTCACACGGGGGAACAGCCAAGTCGCAAACCTCAAGCAGAAGTGTGCCTGTGCATCTGCTCTTACGTGCGCTTGTGTTCGCTTGGCGAAATGCCAAAAGCACCTCTACACAGACCTTTACCTAGACTACTGCAGGACTTGTGGAGAGAGCAAGAGCATAACAAGGGGGATCCGGCTTCCCGGGCTTCGGCTCGGGTGCTGGCTTGTGAGTGCTTGTGGGTTGTAAAAAGCCCCTCGGCCAAGAGCCACTCAACCGTCTGCGTTGGGCTTAACTATGTTGAACGCGGCTTAGCAGCTTCAATCCCAAAGGCGGCCACAGCATAACTTTAGCAGCTTGGACTATCGGCTCCCACCACGAATGACAAGTCTAGTGCGTGATGTTTGCGACTTCTCTCCGGTCGCAGACTCACATGCGGTGAACGCGATACTTGGAAAAGCGGCGCTGTAACGACGATGGAAGCCAGAAAAAGGAGGCGCAGGGACTCACTGGGGAAACGACGTGACTTTCAAGAATGGGCAGTGGCAGAGACTCCAGACAGTGACCCCATCTCGCAACATCTCGCAACCCAGCCTCCAGCGATCGAACCTGGCGTCCGCCACGCACGACTTTGCAGTTCCCTTGCCTCAGCCAGAGATGAGACCAAGGCCAGCTCAAGCTCCACAGGACCACTGCACAAACGCCAAGTGTATGCCTGCTTCAAAATCTCTTCTACCTGGTAAGCCTCTACCTTGGTCGCAGGCCGAGAAAAGATGCGACTTGTCCTTCTCGATGCGTGTGGTTCGGCTCGAGGCTCGAGAACTTGCGCCATGCTCCGGTGTACGCTTCGACGTGCAGTGCTGCTGGAGTGCATGGGGTAAGCAGGCAAGATACGGGCATGCGGGCTTGCACGGGCGTACTGGCGGAGGCATCGGGCGCCCGCGCAGACATGTCGTGTGCCTGTGTGTGTGTGTGTGTGTGTGTCTGTGTCTGTGTCTGTGTCTGTGTCTGTGTCTGTGTCTGTGTCTGTGTGTGTGTCTGTGTCTGTGTCTG